TCCGAATTTCCATATTGACTCGCTTACCGAGAAATTTGAAACACTTAGTGAGAAAGTCTCACTGCCGGTTTTGGCGCTGCCGGCCATCTCAAGCCAGGGTGCTCAGCGACAAGGACCCAGCTCAACTGCCAACTCCTACACAGCTAAAGCTGCAAAGTCACCCCCATCAGGAACTACGGCACAGGCCACAGGCCCAAGTTCAAAACGGAGGCAGACCCCTGTTAAGATATGCTAATCTTACTTAGGTGGTCAAAGATCTATTACCAAATTGGGAAAAGAATCAGGGAGTTGTGAAGAAAGTTGAGTATGTACGGATTTGGTCAAATGTATTGGTTGTGAGGCGCGGTTAGTGAAATTTGGACCAAAGGGGTTAGCTGGTAATGAAATGAATCAAGGGGTGTTGAATGTTTTTTCTTTTGGATATCTTGTCACTCTTGTAGTTTCTTTTCCCCCCTTTCTCTTCTGATTCTTTTGAACAGCGAATATCCGATCAAGGTACCTGAATTCCCGTGACAGTTTTCTAAAGGTGAGCTCCTTCACCTCAAGTCACTATAACTACCTGAAGATACTAACCTATAAGGTTTGATCAGGTCAAGGTAAAAATATAGAAAAGAGATCGACGCGTATTCAGTCTTAGATCTTTAATCTTTTCCTTCCGTAGAATAACGGATATATTTCACCTGAATTCCCGTGACAGTTTTCTAAAGGTGAGCTCCTTCACCTCAAGTCACTATAACTACCTGAAGATACTAACCTATAAGGTTTGATCATAACACAACAATAATATGAAAGAAATGAAAGTTAGATAAATAAGAAAGTGAGTAAGTTCATAAGAACAAGACTAATCTGACCTATAAGGTTTGATCAGGTCAAGATAAAAATATAGAAAAGAGATCGACGTGTATTCAGTCTGAGATCTTTAACTAGCGTCAATACATTTTCAGGTGAAAGTATAATAATAGAATCAATCATATTAGTTAGTAACTGAATTCAGAAAGAGAAAATAGATAAAGAAGAAATGTATATATATATATAGTAGTTGAACTATGTTAAAAGGAGAAATGAGGCGTGAGAAAGTATAAAGGGGTGTGACTTACTCTTTTCCTTCCGTAGAATAACGGATAAGGAAAAGAGCAAGTACGTGTTGGTGAATTTACTTGAGATATAAAGGATGATTAGGGTTTTGGACTTTAAGTTTAATTTGAGAGTTTTATAGTTCAAGTTAAAGTGTACTAAGTATCTGACATGTGTAGTGTTACTTCTACTACCTTTCGTGACAGATGAAACACCAAATAGGAGAGAGACTAAGGTGTCTCTCAACACTCCCCCTGTTTCAGATGTCCATGTATAACATCTAATCCTACTTGATTTCGCAGTTCTCTGAATGGGCTGGGATGTAAGGGTTTTGTCAGTGTGTCGGCAAACATATTTTTATTGCTAATGTGTTGTAGCTTGATGGTTTTCTTCTCGACTTGCTCCCAAATCCAATGGTATTGAACGTCTATATGCTTAGTTCTGGCATGAAAAATCGATTTTTCAGTTAATGAAACCGCTCCAGTGCTATCACTGCATAAGATTGTTGGATTTTTCTGCGGGATAGATACATTTGATAGTAATCCACGTAACCAGACTACCTCTTGTCCGGCTTCTGTGGTTGCTCGATACTCGGCCTCTGTAGATGAAAGTGAGACTGTTTGCTGAAGTCAACTTTTCCAGCTCACTGCAGCGCCGTTGAGTTTAAATAGATATCCGGTTGTTGATCGTCGAGTGCTGGGATCACCGGCCCAGTCGGAATCGGTATGACATTCAGGATAATGCCAGCTTTGGTTACCTTCAATGGCAGTGTTTTGAGGTGAATAAAATAAACCCAGCGATTGGGTTCCCTTGAGGTATCTTAGGAAGTGAATCCCCATTTGCCACGCAAATAGAGATGGTTTAGATAGGTGCTGCGATAGGGCACCGACGGCGTAAGCAATATCAGGTCTTGTACCCTGGGCAATGTACATGAGACTCCCTACAAGACTGTTGTATGGAAGGTTCAACCATTGGAATTCAATCAAGTCGTGGTCACTGGCTTTTGTGATCTTCGTTCCTCCCGGGAAAGGGGTTGAGGATGATTTGCAATCTTCTACGTTGAATTGCTCGAGAACAGTTTGAATAAATCCGGGTTGGCTTAGAGAGTATCCTCCTTCGTCCGTGGAATGAATTTCAATTCCTACTACACAGTGAGCTGGTCCTAGATCTTCCATTCTCCACTTCAGTTTCAATAAGTTTTTAATTTCACCAACCTTGTCTCCTGTGATTGCCATGTCATCGACATGAAGATAAATCAATGTTTCTAATCCGTCATTGTCTTTACCGTACCACAGACAAGCATCGTGAGGATTTTGTATCAATCCAATACTGATAAATTTTTCTTTAACTTCATCACTCCAACATTTGGCTGATTGCTTCAAGCCATAAAGTGCCTTCTTCAACCTAGCTACCTTGCCATTTGCACGCTCTTCATCATACCCTTCTGGTAACTCGAGGTATATCTCCTCCTTGAGACCACTATTGAGAAAAGCAGCTATAGCATCCATCTGCTCAATGGGCCACCCCCTTCCTGCAGCTATTGCTACCATGATACGAAAAGAAGCTAGTCGTCCTGTAGGGGCAGATGTCTCATTAAAGTCAACACCTTTGGTTTGTGTATAACCTTTTGCCACGTATCGAGCCTTGTGCTTTGATATACTTCCATCCGGGTTTAATTTGTATTTGAAGTGCCATCTTCCTCCAACCACTGGTTGATTTTTAGGACGATCTACTATCTCCCATACTCCCATATCCTTAATATTTTGCATCTCCTTGTCACAGGCTGCTTTCCATTGATCGGCGTCACGAGATTTCATAGCCATTTTGTAGCTCTTGGGTTCAGCTCGGGCTTTCATAGCTTCTCGGCATTGGTATACTTTCAATGAGCAGTTTGAATACGACATCTTAGGTACTATGCTTCGCATAGGAAAAGGTTCAATGAGATTTGATTTCCCAGGAGCATATCGTTCAGGAGGCCTGCGATCACGATCAGATCGTCTTGGTTCTATTTGTATTGGAGGATTGATAGTGGTGGGTTGAATTTAGACTTCAGGAATGTTTTCAATCGGGCTTATGTTTGTTTGATCTTCATTTGTATCTGACGGCTCTTCGTTGGGCTTAGGCAGAGGGATTTCTTTTAATAGATCATCTTCATCATCGTCTATTGAATCTCGTAGGATTTCTTGATGGGTAACGTTCTCATTACTTTGATCCACATCTTCAATTTGATCAAGTGGGATGTCCTCGATGAATGTCCAATCAGGATTATTCTCGGCATCCTTCATAAAGGGAAATACAAGAGGCTGAAAAGTCACATCATGACTGACATGGATTTGATTAGTTTCGAGGTCGAGAATCACAAAGTTATGGTTGTCTTCAGTAGCTCCTAATAAAACACCCATACAAGACACTGGCTCAAACTTTCCTCCTCTAATTTCTTTTCTGATGTGTCGGTAGGCCAGACAACCAAATGGTTGAAATCGTTTCACACTGACTTGTCTATTGTTCCAAAGTGAATGGGGAGTTGTTTTAAGATTTAGAGAAGAGGTGATTGTCCGATTCTGTAGCATTACAGAGTATGAAATAGTGTGGTACCAGTATTTAATAGGTACACAGGACTGAACCATCATACATCTCGCTTTGGTATTGATGGTTCTGTTTGATCGTTCCGCCACACCGTTTTCTTCCGGTGTATGTGGTGATGTTACACGAGTGACGATACCCAATTCCTCAAGGTACGGAGTGAGTAATCCATTTATGAACTCCCCTCCTCCATCAAGCGAAAACATCTTTAATCTTTCACCGGTCTGTCTTTCAGCAAAAGCAATATACCGCTTAAAACAATCATACACTGTTTCAGCACTTTTATCTGGTAGTCCAAAAGAGACTCTGTAGCTGCTGTAGTCATCGGTAAAGAGTATGTAGTACTCTTCACGGTTGATGGAAGTCGTTCTAACAATACCACTCAGATCTACGTGGACGTTACCCAGGAATTTAGTGGCTCGTGGTCTAGAGGATGAAAAGGGGAGTCGGTGGTTTTTGGCTAGCGGGCAAACAGGACACTTGGTTATAATTTCAAAGTCTTTTGTAGTGATAGTCTTAGGTAGTACATCATTAAAATAACCCAATCCCCACATCCTTTCCAGATATTTCTCGCTTGGATGACCTAGGGAATAGTGTAATTTAAGAATTGTGAGTTGATTTGTTTTTGATATTGATGACTGATGAGAACTTGGACTGACAGCTGACCGTAATGCTACATACATCATGCTTCCCTCGCCGATGAATCGTCCCACGAAAAGTTCTTTCTTTGCATGGTCGATACAGAAGTTCGGATCCTCAAGGACGGTTGTCACAGCTCCAGCTCTAAGCAATCTTCCACCCGCAATGAGGTTACGAGATAATTCTGGTACGTAAAGACAGTCTTTAAGCTTGATATTTTCTCCTTTGGTATTTAATAAATTTACGTTTCCAATTGAATGAATATCTAAGGTTGCTCCTCCTCCCGCTAGGTTCAGTTTAGCTCCAGGATCATGATTCTCCATGAGAGTAGCGCTTTCAAATAATCCGGCATCGTGGAACATATGATGTGAGGCTCCGGTATCTATTAATGCTACGGAGTCACATTGGGCTCCTATACACGCTAACTGAGGCTGAGCTGTGCAGGAGAATTGTCCATCTAATTTGGTACTGTAACTGACTTCACGATCTTCCAATCTCAGGTTGTTGAAAACTGATTGTAGATCTTCAGAATTGGGATAATCGGGACCATGAACGTTTCGACTGGAAGCTTGATTTTGATGATGACCGTTTTGACCGCGTCCTCGACCCTGAAAACCTCCACGATGACCACCTCTGGATCCTCCTTGGAAACCACCGCGACCACCACGTGGGTACTCTACCCATTCACCAGCATCCTGCTTAGATCATTTCCAGGATTCCATCTTATTTGCGTTATTCGGATGGTGAAAACAATCGGCTTGGTCATGTGGTTTAGTGGGATGGTCTCGACCAATGCACTTATTTCGGCTGCAGGTCTGCCATCTTCCAGTCCGATTTCCTTGACTAGGTTCAGATGTTTCAGCTACTCGGCTAGAGTGTTGTCGACTTGATGAGAACATTTTACGAGTCTGGTAAGTTTTCTTGAGTTCAGTCTCTAAGTTTTGAAATTTTACATGTCCGGCGTCTAGGAGATCGCAGCCTTTCTCGGCCCATTCTCGATTAAGTGACCTAACAAACTGACGCGCTTGTTCTTCTTCAGACATCTCACCGTTTGAACCCAGATATGCATCTACTTTAGCTCTGAATACATCAATATAATCCAACAAGTCTTTCGTGGATCCTTGGGATAGGTCGGTTATTTCGCTTCGGAGCATGAGTTTAACTGATTCGGAATTGCTTATGTGATAGTCGCGAATTGTCTTCCAAAGTAAAGAAGGGGATGATGGTGTCGTCTTAATGCTGTTCTCGAACTTAGAAATCATGGAAATGAATCGGGTGGATTGAGCTGCCTCAATGCTAGCAAGAAGCCAGTAAAAGATCGCTTTCTTGGTAGCAAGGACAATTTTGGCGTCAAGCAGTCCTCCAGCCTCTTCCGAGTCTAAGTAATGATCATACGAAGCAGCCATCAATCCGAAACGAACTCCATCAGACCATGCAACATAATTTGAAGCTGTTAATTTAATTCCAATAATTATTTTGTGAAGAATGGAATTCATCTTCATCGCTTGGCGCTGAGCTGGGGTGTCTGTATCCATAGGTTCGTTTGAAGACATCGCTGGTACTCTAGGCTGTCCGGATGGTATGGTTGTTTGAGACGATTGGGAAGTTTCGGCTGAACTGGAGTGGTCTGACTGATCCTCTATCTGGGAGTTGTTGTGGATTCCGTCGATATCCTCTGAGGACGGGCCTGGAGTCGATGCAGGAGTTGGTAGTTGGGATTCGTCTAAGGTATTGTCCCTCTCTGACATATGGTTTTGTCTTCTATACTAATAACTGAGAGTCGAACTAACTCTCGCTACCATGAAAAGCGAAAATCCAATCAAGGTACCTGAATTCCCGTGACAGTTTTCTAAAGGTGAGCTCCTTCACCTCAAGTCACTATAACTACCTGAAGATACTAACCTACATAGTCAGATCATAACACAACAATAATATGAAAGAAATGAAAGTTAGATAAATAAGAAAGTGAGTAAGTTCATAAGAACAAGACTAATCTGACCTATAAGGTTTGATCAGGTCAAGATAAAAATATAGAAAAGAGATCAACGCGTATTCAGTCTGAGATCTTTAACTAGCGTCAATACATTTTCAGGTGAAAGTATAATAATAGAATCAATCATATTAGTTAGTAACTGAATTCAGAAAGAGAAAATAGATAAAGAAGAAATGTATATATATATATAGTAGTTGAACTATGTTAAAAGGAGAAATGAGGCGTGAGAAAGTATAAAGGGGTGTGACTTACTCTTTTCCTTCCGTAGAATAACGGATAAGGAAAAGAGCAAGTACGTGTTGGTGAATTTACTTGAGATATAAAGGATGATTAGGGTTTTGGACTTTAAGTTTAATTTGAGAGTTTTATAGGTTAAGTTAAAGTGTACTAAGTATCTGACATGTGTAGTGTTACTTCTACTACCTTTCGTGACAGATGAAACACCAAATAGGAGAGAGACTAAGGTGTCTCTCAACATCTTTTCGTGTCAAAAAGAATCAGTGAGCTTTTCCATCTACTCTCATTATCTGAGTTTTCTCAATATTGTTTACTAATATTGTTTCCATACTAGTATTTCATTTTACATATTTTTCTTCTGGGTTCTCTGGAACAACATCCCTACGCGTGCTTTTTGATTTCTGTCGAGCTTGCAGGTATACTACATTTCCTATCTGATCACTCTGATTAAGAGATGTTATCTTTTCTGATCATCTTATTTCTATATTGTCTCTTTTGATTGTTGTTGGTCATAGGTTAGTCTTTTGTTCCTCGACGTAGACCTAGCATTTTGAGAGTTAGTCTCACTAGGAAACCTGTGCCCTCAGGTTAGTCTTTTGTTCCTCAACGTAGACCTAGCATTTTTAGCGTTAGTCTCACTAGGAAACCTGTGCCCTCAGTTCTTTCCGTTCCAGTACTACGCCCAAACCAGCAGATACGTCAGCATCAAGTTGTACTTGGTTTTTCCTAGATTCCGTCGAGAACATTATAACCCCCAAACCTCCAACCCAGAAAAGGTTGACCAACACAACCACCTTGACCCAAACCAACAAAGCAAGAGCTGCTCTAAGCACGCTGTCCGTCACCCAGCTGATTCAAGGCTTCAATAATGCCTTCCGACTTCATAACTTAAAAGTCAGTGAGTCAGCTGAGACCACCATAACAGTGAAGACGGTACAACGTCACCCGTCCAATGACCTAGTGCTGCACCTGGAAAATGCCTCCCATGCTGAGAAAATCAGACAAGTGGAGCAGATCTGGCTTCCTCCAATCACAACGGTGCTTCAAATCAAGCCAGAACACTTCACCGTGCTTGTCCACAGCATAGTTCGACCCAGAGATTGCTAGTCATGTAGAAGAACTAGGTGCCTCTAACCCCGACATCCTACAAGAAGCAATCTTTATAAGGTGGCTTAACCCCAAGCTAAAAGACATCCTGTCTAAACAATATTCTGCACTGCTGATAGGCTTTAATACCAACCCACACGCTGACAAATGTGTCAGAGACAAGGTGTGGTTTGGGAGAGGCCTACACCACGCCAAAGCAGGTAGAGAGCCGCCAAAGCAATGCTACAACTGCAGGAAGTCAGGACACACGGCTCCATCTTGTCCTTCCAAAGTCATGTGTCCCTTCTCACAGCCCCCAGCTACTAGGCTCTGGCAGGCCAGAGATTACCTTGGCTTCATCAAAGATTCATGAAAGATTCAAAAAGATTTCAAACTGACTTCAACACAATATCATATGGGGCCAGCTGTCTGTCCAACCACCAAAATTCCGATGTCATCATATGACGTCATAAATCTGTACATACCTGCTCCTGTATTCACAGATCAAAAATATATAGTCTGTTAAACATTATCATGTAAATTGACTGAGTTATTGAGGTTTAAAAAAAATCACAGATAAAAAATACTATTTTTGTACTATACATAAGACTGGGATCTTGGATATCTCAAATCTTTATCCAGTTGGACAGACAAATGGCCCCACATGATATTGTGTTGAAGTCATTTTGAAATCTTTCTGAATCTCTCATGAATCTTTCATGAATCTTTCATGGAGTCAGTGGTAGGCTCTGGCCTGCCAGAGCCTAGTAGATGGGGGCTGTGTCTGTGGCAAGGAGCATCACACACACACGTGCCCTGAGAAGAGCTCTGCCCCAATGAAATGCACAGCCTGTGTAAGATCATTGACTAGGTTGGACTCAACAAAATCAGTAAAAGGCCTTTTTGATTCCAACAATCAGGACCTTATTCACTCACCATTTCATCCGCAGTGCGCAAAAAGGATTGCTGAGGGATTACCTCCTCACAACCTGAGCGCCTCACCAAAGCTTGTGGTCATCCAAGAAGCCAAAAGTTCTGACATCCAATGTTAGAAAACCTACGGCAAAACTCACCTTACCTGACACCGAGGCAATTCTCCAATTGAATTGACGCCATTCACCAGACACATCAAATTCTCTTTTCAACTCTGACCTCACTAATTTATGTTCGATTTTATCACTGCAAGAGCCAAAGGTAAACAATATTGACTACCTCCCTCAAGAACACGTGAACTGGACCCTCATAAGCCCCACACTGAGTGTGAGAAACTCTAGCGCAAGGCCTAGAGCGTGTTTGCATATTAGAAAAGACCTGAACGCACAAATTAACACCCTTCCTTCAACCTCCAGAGACATTGCATCCTGTACAATAACTTTTGCATCTGGTTTTACACTGCTTGCCTTGAGTGTGTACAATGATGCAACAGTCTTCTCTGGTTTTACAGCTTACACATCCCTCATGAAAAGTCTCCCCCTTGAAATACAACTACTCCCAACAGTAGTCAACACAGACAGTAACTTACATTCAGCAATATGGAATCCACCCCACATCAAGACTCAGGACCAGGATGCGGAAAGGCTGATGGACCTAATGTCAGATTGGGACATGCACCTCCGATCACCATGCGGTATTGCAACTTTTGGGGTAGGCTCACAAACTACACTAGGTATGTCAATTAACCAGGTGTGGGTCAACAATTTGCTAGACGACACCGTACAACAATGTACCATTGACAAAGAGGGCCTCACCAGCCACCTCTCAGAACACCAAGCCATTATCACCACAATCCTCACCTGCGTGAACCCAACTCGGACCGCCTCCACCAAAACAAAAACCAAAAAGAAATGGAAAAGGGTTGAAAAAGTTGCGCTGAAGACCAATGTCCAAGCAAACCTTCCAAAGATTCAACCCCTCACAACATGCAAACTGATTGATGAGTTTGACAACACACTAACTACAACTACCCCCTATTGGTAAGCACAAGAAGTGGTGGAATCCATCACTTCTTGAACCTTTACGAAAGGACACCCTGAGAACCAAAAGGAAGATGAAAAAGACACAACACAAAGAAGACCGCCAAGCCTTCAAAAAGGCCTGCAACAAGTTCAAGGTTGCAGTTGAAAAAGCTAAGGAAAACAATTGGCGTCACTACCTCTCCACCCTCACACACAACACGTTATTTCAGGCCAAGAAGTACACATCAGGAAGACAATCATCACTGGTCATCCACACGCTAATCATGACAGAAGGTTCAACTTGTACGTCAAACACCGAGAAGGCTGATGAACTTTTTGAAGCAACATGTGTGGCAACAGCTCCATGCGACCTCCAGGACACAACACCTCTCACCTTCCCACCTCTGTCTACCAGACCTCTGGGATAGTATCCCTTGGGAAATGTGTCATTCCCAGCGGATCTTATCCCTACGTCCCCTGTAAGATTCAAAGATTTAAAAGACTTGTCTTTTCAAGTCTTTTTTCACACTCTTTCAAGACAGAGTCCATCACAGACCTGTCTGAGCCTCAGACTCGTCTGTCTAAAGCTCAGACTTGTCTGTCCAGGCCACACTCAGACTTGTCTGAAGACCCGCATCCGCAACCTGAAAGGACAAGTCCGTCCCGGTAAGTGCATCTTGACTCTGGAATTCCACTACCGCTCCAGGTCTTCTCGTTTGTCAGCCATTCCGAATTGATTCCTAACTTAACTAAAGTACTAAGCTAGAATTGATTCCAACTTTTTCTTGACCCCTTCTGCCACCTTGTGCAATCCTTTTTGTTACCCCCTACATTAGCACCACAACCTTAACCACCATCATTTTGCCATTGGCTCAACACACAGATCATCAAATCCGAACGTCATTTGGGTATACAACTCACTTGATAACACTTTTCAAACGGATCAATTACCAAACCCAATTTCTGATTTCTGTGAGGTATGTAAGGTTTCAACCCTCACTAAGTCACTTGAAAATTGGATCTGACACCATCTATTTCCATTCGTTTTGATCGGGGTTGGTCTCACACTGTCTCAACTCTCACATCATTAAGAACAACACAGTGGTTTTTGGTTTCCACAAGTTTTATTCAACCCACCTGGTTTGGACTGAAAAAACAAACCAACCGTTGGCATATCGGCTTGGATCCGGATTCTATTTAGGGAAAGCTTCCACTTCATGGACCCAAAGTTTGTACCTCACGGCATCAAATCAATTACGCTCCTCATACAACGTTGGTATTGATCAATATCATGTCCTGTACTCAGAGAAATTGTTTAGATGTCTTTTTAATTTCCTTGATCATCACAATGTTTTAAATGATTTTTATTTGACATGCTGTGAAATAAGATTTTACTTGAGAAACAAACAATGCCCATCCAGCTTTAAGAATTGAATGAGCTGAGATATTACTAGAAGGTTGTAAGTAGTGTTTTAAGGATTTTATGGCCAGGTCAGAGACGTACGAGACTCTTCTTTGATTTTGATGTGGGGGACCAAAGACTTCTCAGCATGATTGATATTGGACAGGAGGTGAAAAAGGGCTATTTAGTCAACATGAGCAAATAGCACACAAAGAACCCAAAAAAGATAAAGCTTATTCTTCGTGTGATTTGATGAATCATTGTAAATGTAGAACCTCTTGAGATAAAGGCTGGCTTGCATGGGTAAGTACATGGAGTGAGTGATGCAGCAGATAGTGTGATTTGATTATTCCAAAATAATCAAATGTGAGCAAGCGCACATTTCAAATAAAAGAGAACAGAGGCAAAAGACAAAGGCAAAAAAGGATGGAAAATAGACAATTCTTGGGTGTTTATTAATTATACATCTTGTTATGAATCTTGGTTTGAAAGACATCGAACAGAAAAAAAACTAGCTTTCACTCCCAATTCTGTGTTTTATCACCAGTCGTTTTCATCAGGGAGGTCTGCTTCTTCATTTTCATCCTCAAGCTCTGTATCGTGTAATGCACTGGCCTCCAACAATTCGCGTGATTCTGGGATACCGCCCCATTCTTCCTCTTCTTCATCGATATCAGCTGAATTTGTCACTCCTGCATTCACCAAGCCTCCTAGCTCTTCATCCTTTTCAATTTTGAATAAGCCAGCCTCCAAGTCTTGCAGCCACAATGATCGCTTACTGTTCATTTTGTCAAAACCTAGCAGAAAGTCTTCAGGCTTAAGTTTTGATCCTTCTAATTGAATTATCTTGACCCGATATCCTTTGTCTTTAAGGCGTTGAGCGGGGTGGGGCTTGTGAGGAAACCCTTGTGATGGATCACGACCAATTGCGGCGGCTATGGGGAAGCAAAAGCAGTGTACATATTGATCAATGCATAATTCAGAACTTTGATATCAGACAGATGGATTGGGAAAGAAAGAACTCACTTAGTTGGGCACGAAGGGCAGCAGAAAGTTTAGATTTCACAACATCTGCAGGCTGCTTTGGCTTCGGTGCAGTTGACTTCGACTTGGAACCTACACTCCCAGCAAAAGGTAATTTTCCCAAGGAAAAAATGATTACATTTAATGCATTTTTAATCAAAAATGCTCATTTAATGCTGAATAATGCTGATTTAATGCTGATCAAATGCATTTTCAATCATTTTTTGCTCTAAATGTATTTGATTTTTCCTTGGGAAAATTACTTTATGCTGGTAGTGCTATGGCAGCTGCTACCGCTTCCTCCACCGAAGCCCCTTGAGTTCGGGCGCCAAATATAACAGGAAAGTTACACTTAGTACGAACATAATCAGCCATGTCTTGATGCGAGGTGAACTCAAGACACCATCCATCAGAACCTGTGCCTGCAGAAGCTTGAGGATGAGTTCCAGCAACAAGAAAGTAATAAGAGAATTCCATGCGAGTTGATTCACTCTGAAACTGAAAGTTTGTACACAGTCAACATCCGTTTATCATCTCAAAAAAAAGTAGAAGGGAATCAACGTACCTCAGAATGAAATTCCTCCACACGCTTACGCAAAAGTCAATTGTGATCTGCAAGTGATTGACCTTGAGGGATCCCATTTGATATCGAGGCATAAGCCTTAGTGACTTTGGCAATAGACACTGTTTCATTGTAAAGTGTTTGTAACTCATGACGCTCATCAGGAGTCAAATCAAGTGGCTTGTATTGTTTGGGTGAAGGGAGGCCAGATAAAGTGTAGAAAATGGACAGTTCAAAAACCATCTGTTCCATATTGGGCAGACTGGTCCACTTTTCGCCAATTATCTTGTTACGCTGAGCAAGACTGGCTCCCTGACTTGCTCGAGGCACTAACGGTACTCAAGATTTGAGAAGTGGCGTCCAGAAGTGTCAAGAAGTGACATCCAGAAGTTTCTTGAACATGCTCAAGAAACTTCTTGAGTGACACTTCTGGACAGTTCCTTGCCACTTTGAGAGCCCCATCAAGGTGCTCATGTCTAGTCATACCACCTGATCATGCCACGCGTCTCAGTCCGGCGGCAAGTCATAAGAGGACTCAAAGGTTTTGCACGCCATCATATGGCTCACCCTCCAGCCGAACCACTCATCCAACCTTCAACAAACCGTCCATCAACCATCCCAACGTTACTATTGGCAATTCTTCTTGTTCCAGAATTATCAAGAGATCTTCCTCTTACACCAACTCTTCGACTGGCTTTGGTTCTTGCGTTAAAAAATCTCAGAAGATCAAAAGTTGAAGACCTCCATTTGAATGAATGTACTGCCGAAGTATGGTTGGCAGCGCTCCAAACTGTTGAAAATCAGCGATACTTCTCTCCCAAGTCATCACTCCTGGACCAAAAAAAAACCCAATTCCTGTTTGATCGGATCATGAATTCCACAGAGGTAACGTTCCTCAAAGTTGTGAGTTTTTACCTTTTCATATCCTTGAATGAATACTGGGTGACATTTGGTTCTTATGAATACAGGCACGGATGACAAAGGAAAACTTTTTTCGCCTCCTTCATTGGATCAAAGACAGCCCAGTTTTCCAAAATAACTCCGCCAATCCTCAAGCTCCAGTTGCACTTCAACTCTTGGTAGCTTTGGCAAACTTGGGCTTAGCGCGAAATGGAGGACAAGTAGCAATCATAGGCCACTTATTAGGTGTCTCAGGCAAGTCTATCGGGTATTCATTCAATCTTCAACTGCATTTTTTGACTCGGTTCTAACAACAGAAGGCAGTGTTGAGAATTATACCTGGCGATGTGTCTTGGCTATTGTTCCCCTGAAAGACGAGTACCTGCAATGGCCTTCCCCACTCGAGCGCCTGAAAATTCGATCCGAGATTGCTCAAGATTACCCAGCCTTGAAAGGATGTGTGGGATTTGTTGATGGTACACTTGTTCCATTAGCATTTGGTCCAGTACAATGCAAAGAGGACTACTGGACCCGTAAGTTTGTTTATGGACTCAACTCAATGATTGTCTGTGACAATCGGCGAAGAATCATTTTTGCACGGTACAGCTGGTGCGGCAGTGTTCACAATCAAAGGGTGTTCCGAACGTCTTCGGTAGGTCTTTTTTTTGGTTTATATATGGTTTGATCTTGTTGCTGACTCAAGTTTCAGCTTTGGAGTCATCCATCACGTTACTTTAGCAAAGGGGAGTACTTAGTAGCAGACTCTGGCTATAGTGCTATGAGATGTGTATTCCCCCTTTTCAAGCGCGGGGTCAACAGCAACCTTTCGCGATTGAAGGCTGCATTCAACACAATGCTGAGCGAGGCCCAAACAATCATCGAGCATGTTAATGGAATGTTGGAGTCTTGCTTTCAGATGGTGAAGGAGTGTTGGCTCCTTCTGAGAGACAAGCGATCGATGAAACAAATGAACGCGCTGTTGATGGCTTGCTGTATATTACACAATTTTTTGTTGAAGGAAGGTGAAGAATCCAGGTTCCCATATCATCTACCTAACCAACATGAACGCGAGGCCGAAGAAGATTATGTCAAGAATAACCCTGCAGTAGCTGACGATGTGATGGCGGACAACAACGATACTCTAAGAAACGATGTATTTGATGATTATGGTTGTGTGGTTGATGGAGATCATTAAAAATCTTTGCTTAATTCACACAGTTTGTTTGAACACTTTTCTCTCCAATTATTGGAAAGAACATCGTCTTTCTATACTTTAAAGTATGTAATAGGTTGTAAGGAATTTCAAAATATTTTCATTACCAGCGACAAAGTGAAAGATAACAAAAAACATGAACAACAGAAATCAACCAATGAGTTTTTTAAGTCTTCTCAAACTTGAGTGTTTTTATCAACAAGACTCGTGAAAACAATTGATGAGAGAGAATTAAAATAAGTTTATTCAATAAGAAACCATTTAATAAGAAACCATTTTGAAATCGCATCTTTTGAGCTTGTATCGTATCAATAGCCTCTTCATCTGAGTCACGAAACAACTAAAAGGTACAAATGAGCCACACCGTTGAGTTTTAAATCAAAAAGATAGAGGGTTGGTGAGAGAATCAGGAAAGTGTCCGTACCAAAGGGTTGAGATGCTCATTTGTTGAGCATCTCATCAACAGTTTGTTTCGCTTTGGCCAGACTGATGTTAAAATTATCCATGTACTCTTTGTACAACTTTCCTCACATTGTGATTTCTTCAAACTTTTGTCTTTTCGTTTCGCCCTCAAGGTCCTTCTCCATCTTTTCTATTTCAACTAGATCCTTGCGTCTCTTCAGTTCATTCGATTCACTTAATTTTTTCTGGCAAATTCGGCTTGGGCTCGATCTAATTCCAAAGTCTCTCTTCTATCTTGTAGTCCCTGAAGTGCTTCGGTATGTGCGTTGGTTTGGGGAGTCAAAGAATGGGAAATAGCACGACGAAGTTCTAAGCTACCTTTCAATTCAGCCTCCCTGCTCTCTCTTTCGGCCAGCATATGTTGTTTCTTGAATTCCCATTTGGCTTGGCGATCTTCCCGCAATGGTAAGTGTTGTGACAATAGAGTCGAAGCTGAATTCAACGAGCTCCCATTGGACTTGGAATGTAAGGTTCCCGTGGTTTTGTTGACAGCTTCAAGCGAAACATGACTCGGCCAAGGTTGAGATTGACGAGGCTTCACCTTGGGTTTGGCAATCAAGCTGTTTGATGGGGAGATTGAAATATCTACACTAGACTTGATGTGGCTTTGTTCAGCCTTGCAAGAGCCTGAGCGATTCAAGATTGGGCTCCCCACAGTACTCAGCACCTGTTCGAGATTGATCGCACTAGCTTCAAGACTGGGATCCACCAAGTTTTTGATGTCGTCTTCACAAAAAGATGCAGGCAAATCTGATGATTGATGGCTAGGATTTGTGTTCAGTAAAATCAAATCTTCATCAAAGATGTCAGTGGATTCTTGGACTGCTCCAGGTGATGTTGCGGGCCGTCTTTGAAAAGCTGGGAACAGCTGGTAATAATTTGGACAGGTTTTTTTGAGTCGTGCTGATCACCACAGGTCAGTTATCTACTTAACTTGATATTTACAGTGAATCAAGGTCTTAATTTCGAATGTTTCCTCTACACTTGATAATAGCTCTCGCCAGACTTCACTGTCAGTGGCATAGCCATTTTTTTCCTTCTCAGCCAAAGCATCATTCATGTCTCTCTCTCTTGAACCTTGACCCGTGCCGGTTTGCATGTCTCTTGCTTTTTGAAAAGCCTTTTCGATTTCTCGGATCTAAACGGATAAAGATACCAATTAACATAACTAATGGATCACCGGACTGTTTATGAAAACATACCTGCGCCTCTACAGATGTACCAGGAATGTTTGGAAAGCCTCTCTCGGCCAGGTACTGAGCAATTTCCTCACCAACACTGGTCTTTGTGATTGTTCCACCATCACCCCGCCACCTATCAAGCTGGAAACCATCGCCATCGGGGGTAGACAACCAATCAGCTAACACACCAAGAGCGTTCTGTCCATCCTTGTTTCGAGCTGTGTGCCACAAAGTTCGAGGACGGACGGGAGAATTTTTGATGTCGCCGTTTTTCTTCTTGTGTTGGCGTGGAGCATTCTTCAAAGGGCTGGGAGTACTTTCTCGTTGAGGAGGATTATTCATACTTGCTGGACTATGAACTTGAGAACTAGGTGGATGATAAACTGATGAAGACATAGGGTTCCAAAGATGATTTAAAGATGGCAAAACTACAGCAAAAGGAAACGGTTGAGTAAATATCAAAGGTGATTGGGATGTGATTGGGGCTTCGCTGGTGTTATGGTTGGAGGGTGGTAGATTGGCCATTGGATCATGAGAATTCACGCCTTATATGACCTACATAAATTTGTAGCAGGTGAAGAAGGTTTAATATAAATACATAAAGTGTTCAAAAAAAAACCCCTGAGCTGCCGCGTGATCACCGCGTAAACACGCACATAGATTTCAGAAGAGTTCCAGAAGTTCCAGAAGTTCCAGAAGTTCCAGAAGTTTAGAGCATGTTCAAGAAACTTCTGGATGTCACTTCTTGACACTTCTGGACGCCACTTCTCAAATCTTGAGTACCATTATTTCAGAAGAGTTCCAGAAGTTCCAGAAGTTCCAGAAGTTTCTTGAGCATGTTCAAGAAACTTCTGGATGTCACTTCTTGACACTTCTGGACCCCACTTCTCAAATCTTGAGTACCATTAATGAAGTATGAATGAATTGAATAATACATACAAATGTCAATTTCAAACTCAACCACAAACTTTGAATAGCTCATCCATAGGCGATAGCCGTCATGTCCGGCACCACGAGACGATCCAAGGTCACCACTTTCAACAAAAAAAGGCATTCAGATAAGCACTCAAGATAGCACCATGATGAATAAGAATTGCCTACATTGCTTTGTCGAGTGTGAATAAGCTCACATTGGCCATCAACGCAAGCATCTCCTTGTGATGATGATACAGTGCCTTGAGAGCCTGGGCTTCATCTTGGATATGTGCGGTACAGCTGTGCCAAGCTTCTTGCCGGCTTGTTTTTGTTCTGCGTGAAGTGTGGCAATTCTTGAAGTAGGCCACTTGTTCATCAATGACTTGTAGTTTGATACCGTAGGAAGCACTAGGTCTATACTGGAAGGCAAATTTCCATCGATCAAAGTTGGTGCTGAGGTACTCAGGTTGGTGATGGTTGAGGTGAAGTTTTGAGAATTGGTAAGTTGAGTCTGGTGTCGAGGGCGCTTTCTGGCTGATGCTCGATGTCGGTTGGAAGATAAGGTCAAATCTACATCGCCA